AGTATCTTATTTCTCCATCAATTTTGTAAGATAGTTTTGCAAGGTACATAAACCTGGGTTGGAGGGTTTTTCTTTTGGGGTTTGAAATACTTCATTCCAAGCTCTCCTTAACTTGAGGGTTTGTGTTGAGAAGTCAGCTGTGGTTGTGATGGGCTTTCCTTTATAGGTGATTTGTTTCTTTTCTCTAAAAGCTTTTAATGTTCTGTTCCGGTGTGGAATTTCTGGGATCTTGACTATTATATACCTTGGTGTAGTCTTTTTTTTTTCATCATGGCTGACTGGAGTTTTGTATGTCTCATTTATTTGTGTGTCAAATTCTTTTTCCCTGCTTGGGAAGGTTTCTGCCATAAGTCCTGTGAAGATGTTTTTTTATGCCATTTGTGCTATCTCCTGCTTTTTCATTGACTCAAATCAATCTTATGTCACTCTTCTTTGCATCATCTAGCAACTGCTGGATTGATTTCGTGGTCCCTTGCCATCTTAAGAAATCTTTCTTTTCATGATTGCTAATTGCAGTCTTGTCTTCTATATCTGAGATTCTGTCTTCACTTTGGCTCATTCTTCTGTGTATACTTTCAGTGGAATTTTTAATCGGGATTAATCTGTTTGCATCTATTTCATGGATTCCATTTCCTTGGACATTCATGATTTCTTTTTTTTTATTTTAAAGAGTAAAAGAAGGATAACAATAATGGGGGAGCGCTTACCAAATTACAGACAAAGTGGTAGGAAATTATCAATGGTTATTGTTTTACATATTGTTATCTACAAGATAGTTTCTCAGGAAAACAAATAGACAAATAATAGTGAATTACAGACAAAAGAGGTAAGAGATTATCAATAGTTGTTGTACTATACTTAGGTATCTTCAAAAGAATATAAATAGAACTATACATGCTTGACCTATTGAATAATCATTAACTATTCGCAATGGTTGTTGTAGGAAACACATAATAATAAACATGCATCCATTTATGAAATAGGACAGGAACAATACAAACACTACAGAGTTATGGATAGATTAGTAGGAAAATATCAATGACTGCTGTAATACATGGTGGTATCTTCAAAGTGGTTTCTCAGGAAGACAGAGATA